GGCACTAATCGTGTGTTTCAGGTGAGGTGTTTCTCTCAGGATTAGAAACTAGTTTTCCCCTCCGGGATAAAACGATAATATAACGTTAGCAATTAGCATGCTAGCTGGACATAATGCTACCTCTAACAATACATTGTAGTTGCTATAATTTCAAGTAATTTGCAACATTCATTCTACATGTTAATGGTAAAAGCTTAAACAGTTGATTACCTGCATGCCACAAAGACTGATGTTCTAATATTTTTGCACATTTAAGTAGAAATGTAATTGAAATTCTATTTATTTCTCCTTTTTTTTATTGATTGTTATAATTGTACTCAGCCATGTTATGTTAGATGTCAATCTACTTACACTGTAACTACTCTGGCCTTGAAAGAAGGTTACACATCTAACTGATGTCCACTAATCCCTATAAAACAAAGTTTAAGCATACATTAAGCACAAAACAATAAATAAGGGTACCTAACTTTGCACTAAGGTGTGTCTGCTGCTGAGCCTACCTATTGTTAATATATATATATATATATATATTGCCACTTATTATATTGTTTTGATACTGACACTTATTGATCTGCTGCTGATAAATAAAAGAGAACCTACATGCACGGCACTAGCATCATGACTGTCTTTGTTTAAACCAGCAGCAGTGCAGCGGTACACAGACTAACCTGTGTGTGTGTAACGTAGTTCTTCAGGGGTGTGTATGCTTAACATGTATGTATTTATCAAGTAAAGATGGTATACAAAAGCTTTTTAAAGAGCTTTCAACCTCATCCCATTGTCTTTAACACACATTTAACATAATAATATACTCATATTAATATACAAATATACAGTATGAGTACTGTTTTGATACTGACATTTTATCTTTGCACTAAGGTGTGTCTGCACTATTGTAATTTTGTCTGTTGACTGTGGTAAATAAAAGAGAGAACCAAATGCACTGTACAAAAGATCAACTTTATTGTCAATTTACAATTTCCATGCTGTTCAGATGCCTCATAAGGGCTGTGCGCGTGTCTTGCCCTGCGGCGATTTTTTTAGGCACGGGCACACACTCCTGGTTGTTGGTGTTGCGTCTCCCCAACGTTGCTTCCAGGCGAATACAGAGGAGTTGAAAACAGCCCTTGGACATTCGGAAATCTTTGATCCACTGCACATTGGTGTACGTTGGCACCACCTTCTCCCACCAGGCCGATGTTCTATTGTTCACCCAGAGAGAGCGCGGGACACGGCGCGTTCCGTAGTATTCGCATATCTGGAACACATACAAAGACACAAATTAGCCCTACATAACTCCATAAATCCTGCATTAGATAGTATTAATGTGATTTAATGAACGTACCATTGCTGTTCTTTGGGCGTGATAACGGTCATCATCCTCAGCTGTCCTACAGCGAAACATGTCCATAGCGTGTGCTTTTCGTCGTCCAATCCTTTTGTTAAGGCTTCTTAACCGCCTTCGCCTCCGACTCAGCATTTCTATTGCATTTGAATGGTCGATCTGTATTTGTATTTGTGGCTGAGTTATTGGCTTAAATAACTCAGTTACGAAGCTGTATAACACGAGCACCAAAAACGTCAACTCCATACCGTGTCTGAGGTCGGAAGGTAAACAGAAGCATACAGCGGAAGCGGAAGTTTTTTTTCTTCTTCATCTCTCGGTTTTTTGGCGAATTGCAACTTTAAGGTGCATACCGCCACCTACTGTACTCGCCGTGAAGTTGTTTGCGGCCTGCCAGTAAACCCAAAGCAGAAGAAGAAGAAGTGACGTCAGCGGCTCATTTGCCTAATCCACCCCCAGGAACTCATTTTGGTGTGAACGTGATCTGCTTTAGTTCATCAGAACTAAAAGAGCTCTCATGAACTAAAGTTCTCATGAACTATTGTGGGAAAAGTACTTGGTGTGAACGCGCCTATTACGGTCTCTATCCGCAGCCGGAGAAGAAACGAGTGCTCAGGGACCGTCTGCAAAGTGCAACTCCGAAAAAAGATAATACAATAATATTCAATTACTATTATACAGCTTATTACTACCAAACTCACCACACACATCAATAGTCTCATGGTGGTCATACGACAGCAGAGTTTTGAAGAATTTGGGGAATATTTATAATGTCAAATCTTCAATAAATATGACATTATCTTGAATAACTTTACTATTATACAGTATATTAAACTCACTACACACATCAATAGTCTTCTGTTGGTCATACTACAGCAGAGAGTTTTGAAGAATATGCTTTTGAATAATATTGGGGAATATTTATAATGTAAAATCTTCAAAAAATATGGCATCATCTTCAATAACTTTACTATTATACAGTATATTTCTACCAAACTCACTATTTGCATTGTTGTTGTTAGCATCTGGTTAGCTAGCTGCGCTAACGGATATTAGAAGCTGTTTCTAAAACAAGGAGAGGGAGAGCTCTGTCCTGTCAGACTGATACCCCTTTCACACCAACGCAACTCCGGTTCAAGCTCCGTGCTAGAGCTTTTCAGGTTGAGAACCGGTACTTCGGTTTAGCTCCGGCTCTTTTCACACCGCTCAGAGCCCGACTGGTGCTGCCGCTGCTGCGTCATGACGTCACAGTTTACGTCGCTGATTTTCTCCCCAACGGAGCTCACCTCACAACAACAACGGGCCGGGGACTGCGTTGCTTTTAATCATACGAGTATTCACTGTCTGACTGTCACACAAGCAGCTGATACATATCCCCAGTTCCCTTTAAGTGAATGTGTGTCAGTCTGAATTGACGCTGTTTGGCATCACAACGCTGTTATGAAAGTTTCTCTGGTATAACATGGGTGATGTTAGCATAGCAACCGAAGCTAAACTGACTACTTGCTACGCCGTTTTCTCCAGGCACTTTTTACCGACGTATTTTTCATTATGATTCTACTTGTGATAGTCGGACATGACAACCTGTGCAGCCCATGTATTGATTCCATCCGATAGCTGCTATAATAACAAACAAAACGTCTGCCTGCTCTCCACAATGATCAATAACAGCGAACGGATGGTCAAAGTAAGGTACAAATAAACAGAATCACACGAAGCCTGGTTAGTGTTGCCTGACTTTATAAAGTGTGTTTTTTTTTAACAAGTGTGTGGTTGCGTTCTAGTCACTTTGCTCAGCACTACTGCTTGTTACAACTTTTATTTGCCGTACTCGCCTTAACTGTTAGCTCAGGTTAATCTCGCCCCCCTCCGACGTAAGCGTGACGTATGCGGTTCTTGCTTCTACACAGACAACTTTTTGGTGCTCGAAACGAACCGGATTCCGGAGCTTAGAGGCTGCTCCGCTGCGGTGTGAACAGGAAAACCCGGTGCTTTTCAAGCACCAGCACCGAACCGGCCCCGAAACACCGTTGGTGTGAATGGGGTATAATACCCCTTTCACACCAACGGTGTTTCAGGGCCGGTTCGGTGCTGGTGCTTGAAAAGCACCGGGTTTTCCTGTTCACACCGCAGCGGAGCAGCGTCATAGCTCCGGAATCCGGTTCGTTTCGAGCACCAAAAAGTTGTCCGTCTAGAAGCAAGAACCGCATACGTCACGCTTACGTCGGAGGGGGGCGAGATTAACCTGAGCTAACACTTAAGGCGAGTACGGCAAAATACAAGTTGTAACAAGCAGTAGTGCTGAGCAAAGTGACTAGAACGCAACCACACACTTGTTAAAAAAAACACACTTTATAAAGTCAGGCAACACTAACCAGGCTTCGTGTGATTCTGTTTACTTTGACCATCCGTTCGCTGTTATTGATCATTGTGGAGAGCAGGCAGACGTTTTGTTTGTTATTATAGCAGCTATCGGATGGAATCAATACATGGGCTGCACAGGTTGTCATGTCCGACTATCACAAGTAGAATCATAATGAAAAATACGTCGGTAAAAAGTGCCTGTAGAAAACTGCTTAGCAAGTAGTCAGTTTAGCTTCGGTTGCTATGCTAACATCACCCATGTTATACCAGAGAAACTTTCATAACAGCGTTGTGATGCCAAACAGCGTCAATTCAGACTGACACCAAACAGCGTCAATTCAGACTGACACACATTCACTTAAGGGGAACTGGGGATATGTATCAGCTGCTTGTGTGACAGTCAGACAGTGAATACTTTAGAGCCGTGTGAGCTAACCCGGAGCTAACGGGAGAATACACTCCCGTTGAAGAGCAGCCGGCCAGCACTGCAGCGGTCGGTAAATGCCGCTGAAACACATTAATAAACAATGAACCACGGCACTCTGGAGAAAAGTACAAGGTTGGAGAAGTCGTTATTTAATTTAATCTGGCTTCGTATGATTAAAAGCAACGCAGTCCCCGGCCCGTTGTTGTGAGGTGAGCTCCGGCGTTGGGGAGAAACTCAGCGACGTAAACTGTGACGTCATGACGCAGCAGCGGCAGCACCAGTCGGGCTCTGAGCGGTGTGAAAAGAGCCGGCGCTAAACCGAAGAACCGGTTCTGAACCAGAAAAGCTCTAGCACGGAGCTTGAACCGGAGTTGCGTTGGTGTGAAAGGGGCATAAGAGAGATAACTACAGCTCAGTGAGGTAAGGGACTCTCTGTGTTTAGATAGTTCACTTTAGTCTAGTTATCTCAGTGGGTCTCAAACGGTTTGGTCACCATTTATGAGAATAAATGAAAAACAGTATATGACAGTAAAACAAGAATACAGTTTAAAAGGTGAGTGATTTGTAAAATATCCATAAAGAAAAAGAAAATCTGTTTACAGTTCTGTTTCATATGGGTGTTGAGAGATGTATCCATACATTCATTTTGCTCTCATGCCCCCCCCTCCTCTATATTCTCTAATTTTCAATACACTTAACAGAAGAAAGGTAGCATTTACTCTAAGTTTACTTAGATCATTACAACAGCAGAGGCATACGTAGCTGTGGTCTACCTCTGATGGCTAGCATACTGCTCTGTTAGCAACCCCTTATTTGAATCATGTAGCATAGATAGCTAGCTTTGCTAGCCTGTTGGGTACGTACTCTCGTGAAATGACCTCTTGGTGGCCTGTTGTGGAGATAATGGTTATCCGGCGGTGTGGCTGAAAAGGGTCCGCAAGGTGCAGGTGGTGTGTGTCCTGGGGGGGGACCCCTACAGGGCCCTCCGTGTCTGAAAGGAGGGCCATGGGGTGGCAGAGGTCCGAACGGCGGCGGGCCGTGTGCAGGTTTACCCGGGCGGTAGATGTCGTGTCCAGGTTTACCCGGGAGGTACATGTCGTGTCCAGGTTTACCCGGGCGGTACATGTCGTGTCCAGGTTTAACCGGGCGGTACATGTTGGTGTTCAAGAGGGCATTCAAACTCCTCCACCGAAGAGTGAATACACCAAAGGGAAACTATTTCTAAGCAAATGTGCTGTTTTACGTGTTTCTACAGTCGGCTGCACAGATGCTTAAGCCTGCCACCGGAAATATTACAGTGAAAAGGACAACATCCGGAGCAATTCCTTCAGAATAAAAGTCTACGTCAGCACGGAGTTAAAAATTACCGGTACTTGCTCTTTTATATTCTACATACATTGTCAATGTACACATAGATTAAACAGTGTCCAACATAATTGTGGATTCCCGTAGCTCATTCATTTATATAGAATGAACGACGTGTGACTGTAAATAGACTTCTACCGTCGTACCCAGCGCCATATACGGCTCTGGTCGTACCCAGCGCCATATAGATAGAAGAGTTACGACAGCGGAAGTCCAAAATGCTTGATCGTCACGTGGTTCAGGGAGAGTCAGTAGGCTTGTTTGAGACAAGCGAGACCTGCGCAATTGCGATCAACGTCTTGCTCGTGCGTTGCATGATGGTTAGTCATTTTGTCCGACTTGCTCTGGAGGCTCGCCTACATGAGACGTTGAAATCTCGCGGGACAAAGACGCCCGCAGACTTGAGAGCGAGGCTCGGCGAGGCGGCGCAGTTTCTCTCCCCGGGCTGCGGAAGCGAAATGCTTGATGGGAAACGACTCGCTGGTATCTCGAGCTGAGCGCTCATTGGTGGGTTTTACCCCGTGCTGGAGATGAAACTCTCCATTGGCTCGGCAAAAGTGTGTTGTTGTTTTGTGTCAGTTTTACGTCGCCACTTCCATTCACATTTTTCATCATTGTTCCACAATGTTTATCATCATGACATTAATATCTATATATTTTATACTATACTTGCACTGCTTACCGTTGTCATACTTTATATATCTTAGCATATTCATACAACACACTGTTCATACTAGGCTAGGCTACTGTGTATATAGTGTATTCATACCCCTCACTGTTTTTTCATCATTCAATTCATTCTATATTTTATTCTGTAGATTGTGTACATTACTTTTCACTTTACTGCTTTTTGCACTCCTGGTTAGAAGCTAAACTGCATTTCGTTGTCTCAGTACCTGTAATCTGTGCAATATCAATAAAGTTGAATCTAATCTTGAGCAGGAACAAATGTATTTACTTAGTACATATCTGACATTAACGATTAAACACATTTGTCCATTCTTTATCAATCAATCAATCAATGTTTATTTATATAGCCCAATATCACAAATGTTACATTTGTCTCAGTGGACTTCACAGTTTGTACAGAATATCAGTATGACAATACGACACCCTCTGTCCTTACGTTTCACATCATACAAGGAAACACTTCCAGAGAAAAACCCACAGTTTAAAGGGGAAATGGGAGAAACCTCAGGGAGAGCAACAGAGGAGGGATCCCTCTCCCAGGACGGACAGACGTGCAATAGATGCCGTGTGCATTTATAAATGCAAACCGAGTCAAGCCGACTCCGGAGGTGGCGGTATGCACCTTAAAGTTGTTTGAAATCCGCCAAAAAACCGAGAGAAGAAGAAGAAGAAGAAGAAGAAGCCGACTCCGAGCTGTCCGACTTCAGGCGAGTTTTTTGAGACCTCCCCCGGCTGCGATCGGCTATTCTCGTCTACTTTCGAGGCGAGCCGCAGCTCGTCTCAAACAAGCCTAATAGTTCCCCGGAAGTTCGTGGCGGGACATATGAATGCATGATTACCGGAGATAGAACTACGATTTTTGGTAATAAGTAGTGAATAAAGGTCTTGATTTGCAATATTTATACAACATACCGATATGTGTATGTATTTACATCAATATGTTTTAAAAAATAAATAGAATCTGCTAATATTTATGGATAATATTAGGAATAGTGTGAACAGCTAGTTTACTTGTTAACATATACATGTTAGGCTGTTTCCTTGGTTAAAGAGCCTGTTGCTGTTGTGTATTGCTTTGAATTATTTAAAACAAATATTATCTTCTTAAACAGGTATGGTAGTCAGGAGCATCACTTCCTAATGTTTATTGATATATTTAGAGGGAGGGGATGGCAAGGAATGCTTCAAAATTTAGATTAGATTAATTTCTACCATTTTTTTAATTCATGGTGGTTTCAGTAATCCCATGGTACTTGAGGACATAAGTAATCTAAATGACTAATGTCATCTTTATGACTTTCAGAAAGGACAGGAGACCAACAGGTGACTATCAATGGACTAGCAGCAACATGATTATGACGTTAAAAGTGTTGTTTTAGGAACATCCATTGTAAATACATGGAATTCAATAAACATTGAATAGCATGTCATGCAGTTTGTCTGTGCCTTTTCCTCCGTGTTGTCCTGGCATATCGTCTCCACCATGGATTGCTGTGCTGCCTGGGGATGCTCCAATCGCTCAGAGAAAGGAGTAAGAATCAGAATGTACGGCTTCCCCACTGACACAGAGAGGAGGAAAAAAATTGCTAGCTCAAGTCAGCAGGAGCAATTTAACAATCAAAACAGACAGCCGCAACAAAATATGTGAGGTAATCATATTCAAACACTGCATTTGCACTTTTTCCACAAAACGAAGACCACACCATTGGGAAGCTTAATGTTTGGTTTAATACAAATAACAGGGAAAGGCTTGAAAAACTCTGAGAGTTGAGACTCAGGGTGCAGGGTGAGGGTCTCAGTGCAGGTATTCAGGCTCTATTGAATCCCCCTCTGGTTCTTGTGCTGAAAGAGGGAGAAACAGACAGGAGAATGGGTTATACACACCTATATAGCACACCTATTGGATGGGAAATTGCCTTGGGGAGATAAGGTGTGGTCTTTGTTTCCAACTGAAGTTATGGAACTTTATTATTTGTGAGTTTAACAAAGTATGACAAATGGCATCAGTAATGGATGTGATATGAATTTGTATAAAGTTGTCTCACATTCTTGGTCGTATTTTACGTACAGTATGTAATGAGTGTATACATGTCCAGTAAGTCCTCCACCTGTAACATCACTGCCCCTCCACCTGCCATACAGTAGGTTACTAATATACACTAACAAGATTACTTATATAATACAGTGATAGAATACATGTTTAGTATGCTTACTTGTATACAACAGTAGTATTAAATGTACCTTGTGTTTTCACTCTCACTTTGCCATCATTTCAAAATCAGCTGAGCTGCAACATAATACAGACAGGTAATAATCAACAGAATACACTAAAAACACTCACCCATAAATTACGTTTTTGTTTACTGTTTGGAAGTCTCAAATATGCACTCTAAATTAATATCAATAGCGATGTATCACACAAATAGCTCTCTTCCTTATTATTGTGTAACGTTAACTTTATTATACTAGTTTGTAGGCCTACTCCAAAATGGAGATCGTAATTTCTCCACCTCCACTCATTACAATCACACGTGCCCCAATGTTATATTTAACTAATATTATATTCCTCCACCCCACAAAAAAATCACGTTTAGAAGCCCTTTTTCTCTAATTCCACAACGTTGGATGAAATAACATTAGGAGAACGGATTAATAGCTGTTCATGGTTACCGTGTGTTGCTAACTTTATCCGGTATCCTAGCCTAATCTGTTTTCTGTAAACGTTCCCTAAATCTACTGATTTAGGGATAATCCACTAACATCCTTTAATACACATGTTCATTTGACTCAGATGTGCTGATAATATCTGCAATATAAATCTTTAAACGTCTTCTTACCTTTAAAAGTCCATCACGAACGATCTATTATGCTGCAACTCTACTGTGTTGCTGGTCGCAAAAGTTCCCCGGAAGTCAGCGGCAAGCTAACTTCCGGGGAACTATTGACGGCTGCACGATCCGCCATTGCTGTAAAAAAACTGGTCCATTGGAGTGAACGGAGATGTCGTAACTCTTCTATTATACGGCTCTGGTCGTACCTATTCATTCAAAATAAAAGCTCCTCAGGTTTTTATTTATTTCCTTACCTAAATGAAATAATGGAATCACCTTAGCTATGTTACAGTGTGATTAAAACAGATTTATATATATATATATATAAATAAGTTTATTATAAATCTGCTCAATCCATTTCCAGAAGGTCATTTGGTATATCCTGACCATAGACTGTATAATGGACGTAGGGTCCGTGACGTCACCCATAGGATTCTGCAGAGTTGCAGAGAAGCCCTTAGTAGGCGGAGTCGGCCACTAACGGCTCGACAGTGACGTCAGAGTCTAACTCCCGCCTGCTCCAGCCTGATCCAAATAAGGGCAAAGAGGCGGAGACGAGGCGGAGACGAGGCGGGACCTGCTGCCTCCGGGCTGGAAGTTCCAGAGCTAGCTGAAGCTACCAAGCTAAGCTAACATGCTAACCATCTGCACACTGCCGTCGCATTTTACGTTTCTAAGGTAAGCGGACATGAAACTATTCAGCAAAACTATAAATAATAATCTAAGTTGAGTTTTTAGCATAATACTTCAGAATCTTAAAATCCCTTAACGTTTGTATGCAATTGTGCTAAATTCAACACTGGAATCAAGCAAATATTAATATGTTTGCATGACATTAGTTATTTATATTTTGCCATCACTTAATTATACGTTTAATACATTTAAGTTAAGCTAAGGTACATGTGATGATAGCTAGTTAGTGCTCTTAACTGTGAGGTCTCCTCCAAACAGCATTATAACCAGACTGTATCATTAAAACTACAAGTACCAGTTCTAGATCCTTGACTTTAGACAAACAATTCAAAAGACAAAATGTATTTAAAGACCTATCTTTATTTGAAGGTGCCTCTTAACCTGAGATATTAGTTATACAGTAATAGTATTGACAATCTAAAAAAGCTGAGCAACTCAACAGTCAACTTTATATTTCTTATTGTCTAAAGCAGCGGTTTTCAAAGTGTGAGGCGCGCCTCCCCTGGGGGGCGCCAGAGAGCTTCAGGGGAGGCGCAGCGTGAGAAAAAAAACAACGAGAAAAAGACGAGTAAAGTGACTTGCACACTTTTGGCTGTCTGTGGAGACCGAGTTCCCCCACCTCGCCAAAAAGGCTGTAAAAGTGCTCATTCCCTTCACCTCCACCTACCTGTGTGAGTGCGGGTTTTCCGCATTGACTTTGATCAAAAGCGAGTGCCGGTCAAGGCTGCGGCCAGAGTATGATCTGCGTTTATTCCTGTGTGCATCAAAGACGCAGACTCATTGTTCCCACTAAAGTAGGGGTGAGTGTAATAAGGAGGCAAAGTTGACGTTCAGTGTGTTGCCGGGAGCATATAAGGATGTATCCACGATGTTGAAAATGTAAAAAATGTTTAAAAGATATCTGTTGAGAACACGGCGTGCGAAAATATACGGGTCGTGCTGCAGCTAGATTTGCCTGTCCTCTGTAAGAAGGTGTCGGCGACTGACGTGCGAGGAAGAACGGCTGTCCACAG